TAGGTAGGACCACTGGGGGGGGGGGAGTAAAGAAGGGGGAAAGGACCACTAAGAAGGGGGGGGGGGGGAAAGGACCACTAAGGAGGTAGGAAGGGGAAAGGACCACTAAGGGGTGGGGAGAGGAGGAGAAAGGACCACTAAGGGAGTGGGGGGAAGGAGGGGAAAGGACCACTAAGGGAGTGGGGGGGAGGAGGGGAAAAGAACCACTAAGGGGTGGGGGAAAGGGGAGTGGAAAGGACCACCAAGGGGTGGCGGAAGGAGGGGACCACTAAGGGGTGGGGAAGGGACCACTAAGGGGAGGAAGGGACCACTAAGGGGGGAGGGGAAAAGGACCACTAAGGGGGGGAAGATGGTAAGGACCACTGAGGGCTGGAGAAGGGGAAGGACCACTAAGGGGTTTGGAAGGGGGGGGAGCAAAGGACCACTAAGGGGGGGAGCATAAGGACCACTAAGGGGAAAGGACCACTAAGGGGAGGGAAAGGACCACTAAGGGGGGGGATAGGGTAAGGACCACTAAGGGGTGGAAGAAGGTAAGGACCACTTAGTGGGGAAGGAGGGGAAGGACCACTAAGTGGTTTGGGAGCGGGGTGGAGGGATGACCACTAAGGAGGGGGATGAGAGGGAGGACCACTAAGGGGGGAAGAAGGTAAGGATCAGGGATGCCATCAGTGGGTGTCAACCATGACGGTAGTCACAGGCCCGGCGGCCCAGCTGTCCAGGCCCCACGTGTAGCGGCGGAACTGCCGCCGGTGCAGTTGCACCGGGGACACGCGCTGATGGGGCCCATCAGGTGGCCCATGCACTTAGGGTCACCCGATGGGCCCTATATCTTCAGGGGCCCGGTCAGCGCTGTGGCCGTGTAATAGCGCGACCGGGCCCTTTAAAAAAAAACAACGCAGCCGCAGCAAGTGCTGCTGGGAGGAAGTGGTCACTTCCTCCCAGCTCACTCCGCGCGGGAGGACCACTAGCCAAGCCGTGAAGACGGACACCCGCCCCGAATCCTATCAGCCCCAGCCACCCTCCTGCAAAGAAAAGGTAAGAGACAGGAGGGTGGATGAAAAATGAGCTTTGTGTGTGTGTGTGTGCAGGGCCGGTGCAAGGATTTTTGCCACCCTTGGCAAAAGTAAAGTTTGCCGCCCCCCCCCATGTGACATCACAATGCTCCACTCATATGATCTGCCATGTTAACTAACGCCAGTGCTGCAGTGCCGCCGTGTTTACATTATAAGGCATGCAGGGACAGGCTATAGACACCAGAACCGCTACATTAAGCTGCAGTGGTTCTGGCGACTATAGTGTTTCTTTAATGTGAGGTAAATTAGAGATTAGTACCACGAATAATATACTAGATTGCCTACTTACAACGAGATGAGGATGATGATGGGCTCTAGCTGCAGTCTGGCTCCACTGGTCTGGTGCAGAACAGGCTCTCTGGAGGCTGTTTGTAACTGTGGTCACAAAAATCAATGTTCAGGGAGAACGGTAAGCAGCTCCATTTTTTGGAGGCCCTTTACACAGCTCAAGGTCTGGGTCCCAGTGTCCACCTTCATGTTCCACCAATGAGTTTGTTCACAGGGGGTGGAGTGTGTAGGGGATGTCCTGGTATGTGTGTAAGGAATGCATTGTGTGAATCTGTGTTTGTATGTGTAAGGGCTGCAAGGTGTGCTTCTGTGTATGTACAGGATGCAGTGTGTGCGTGTGTAAGGGGTGCATTGAGTGTGTGTAAGGGGTGCATTGTGTGTTTCTGTGTGTGTAAGGGATGCATTGTGTGTAAGGGTTGCATTGTTTGTGTGTGTGTGTGTGGTAGCACTAGATGTTTGATTTTGATTTACTTTAAGTTTTGTCCCAGCACTGATTCATTGAATCCAAGAGGAGATAGATAGAGACAGTGTACTTATTTGCTCCTTTATAGGGCTAGCATAGAACACCCTTGAAGGTGTTGGTCTTTAAGAAGTTTGCAGGGATTTTACTCCTTATTCATAACCTACTTTCTGTATGCGGCTCTGTTTACTATTGATTTACTGAGGGTCTCTCTATATAGGGACAGCATAGAACACCCTCAAAGGTGTTTGTGTCTAGGAGCTTTCAGGGATTTTACTTTCCATCTATAACTCTCCTTTTCTTTGCTGTACTGTTCAGCATTTACATACTGAGGGTCTCTCATTAGGAACAGCATAGAACACCCTCGAAGGTGTTGATTTTTAGGAGCCTTCAGGGACTATCAATTCTCTACTTATCACTCTCTTTCATATGGTGTTCTGCTTAAGTACCTATCTACTGGGGTCCCTCCTTCCCTTATCATAATATAGGTCGAGGGACAGCATAGAATATACCTGAAGGTGTTCCATTTTGGAGTATTAGGGTAATTATTACCTTTGGATTTATTATTCCCTGTCTATCTATCTTTTGATTAATCATTATCTTTTCTTCTCTGGGGATTAGCAATTATATCCTTATTGAAGAATTTGACTTCTCCTCTTGTAGATTCATGTGATATATAGTATTCCCAATTCTTTAGGTTTGATTTGATTCAATTTTTTGCCCCTGTTTCTTATTATTTGAATTATAATAAAGTATCTTTAATTGTTTCATTTTAGGGGCCCTTTTGGAATATTCAACCAATATACTATATACTTCGGGATTATTTCTCTTTCTAAGGACTTCAGTGCTGGTTCTCCAGTCATTTAATGTTATTAGTACTTTCCCTATATTATATCTAAAATCAGTTTAGAGTCTCTTCTATTGAGTCTCTAATATATTTTTTCTTAAATGTGTCTGTGTGTGTAATGTATTGTGTGTTTTTCTGTGTGCAAGGGGTGCATTGTATGTGTGTGTGTGATGGATGTCAATCTCTCCCCCCTCCCTTGTCACTCTCTTCTCCCCTCCCCCTTCCCACTCTCATTGCCCCTCCCTCCCCTGTCACTCTCACCCCCGTCAATTTCTTCTCCCCCCACCAATTTCTTCTTCTCCCCCCTGTCAATTTCTTCTTCTCCCTCCTGTCAATTTCTTCTTCTCCCCCTCCCCTACCAATTTCTTCTCCCCCTCCCCCTACCAATTTCTTCTTTCCCTCTTCCTCCCAGTTTGTACTCCCACCCTCCCAATTTCTTCTCCCCCCCCTCCTGACAATTTTTCTTCTCCCCTCCCCTCCCATTCTTCTTCTCCCCCTCCCCTACCAATTTCTTCTTCTCCCTCCTCCCCATTTCTTCTCCCCTCCCCTACCAATTTCTTCTTTCCCTCCTCCCCTCCCAGTTTCCTTCCTCCCCACTCTCCCAATTTCTTCTCCCCTCCTGACAGTTTTCTTCTTCTCCCCCCTCCCCTCCCCATTTCTTCTTCTCCTCCTACCAATTTCTTCTTCTCCAGGTCCTCCATCCTTTCTCCCCCCTCCCTACCAATTTCTTCTTCTCTCCCCATCCCATTTCTTCTCCCCTCCCCCTACCAGTTTTCTTCTTCTCCCACCCTCCCCATTTCTTCTCCCCCCTCCTTTTCTTCTTCTCCCCCCACCCCGTTTCTTTTCTCTTCCTCCTCCCATTTCTTCTTCTCCCACCCTCCCCATTTCTTCTCCCCCTCCCTCCCCGTTTCTTCTTCTCCCCTCCTACCAGTTTCTTCTTCTCACCCTCCCGTTTCTTCTCCCCCCTCCTCTCCCGTTTCTTCTTCTACCCCCCCCTGACAGTTCCTTCTCCCCCTCCTGACAGTTTCTTCTTCCCCATCCTCCCAGAATTTCTTCTCCCTCCTCTCCTGACAGTTCCTTCTCCCCCTCTCCTGACAATTTCTTCTCCCCCCCCCCACCTCAGTTGTAGCGTGGCCGAAACCTGTATAGTCCGCGGGTACAGGTAGCTTTTGTTTCTTGTACCCGGCCGGAATAACAGGAAGTGCACACTGAGTGTGTACTTCCTGTTATTCCGGCCAGGTACAGGAGACACATGCTCCCTGTACCCGCGGACCATCATGATACAGGGCTCGGCCACGCTACAGAGAGGGAGTGACAGGAGGGAGCGCTCAGCGCTTCCCTCCTGTCAGCCCCTCTCCTCAGGCTGTGCCCTCATGGACGCACCGCCCGGGCAAAGCTGCAGCCGCCTGAGGCTCTCTGCAGAGCGCTCGGGCGGCTGCAGCATGGGGGGCTGGCGCTCCTGGCGGCACCCCTTCACAAGGGGAGCTCTAGGCGGCTGCCTAGTCCGCCTAACAGGTAGCGCCGGCCCTGTGTGTGTCTGTATGCATGTATGTCTGTATGTCATTATGTATGAATGTCTGTATGTCATTATGAACGTATGTGTGTATGGATGTCAGTATGTATGAATGCATGTATGTATGTATGTCTGTCAGTATGTCTGTATATATATGCATGTGTGTATGTCTGTGTATGTATGGATGTCAGTGTCTGTATGAATGTATGTCTGTATGTCATTATGTATGTCTGTATGTCATTATGTATGTCTGTATGCCAGTATCAATGTATGTCAGTATGTCTGCAGCTTAATGTACAGTATACAGCTTAATGTACGATATACAGCTTATTGTATAGTATACAGCTTAATGTATAGAATACAGCTTAATGTACAATATGCAGCTTAATGTACGGTATGCAGCTTAATTTACGATATACAGCTTAATGTACGTTATATAGCTTAATGTACAGTATACAGCTTAATTTACGATATACAGCTTAATGTACGTTATATAGCTTAATGTACGGTATACAGCTTAATGTACAGTATGCAGCTTAATGTACGGTATGCAGCTTAATGTATGGTATATACAGCTTAATGTACAGTATACAGCTTAATGTACGTTATGCAGCTTAATTTACGATATACAGCTTAATGTACGTTATATAGCTTAATGTACAGTATACAGCTTAATGTACAGTATACAACTTAATGTAGTGGTTCTGGTGTCTATAGCCTGTGCCTGTAGGCCTTTTAATGTAAACACACTGTCTTTTCAGATAAAAGATACTGTGTACATATGGGGGGGCAAAAATCCTTGCACCGGACCTGTGGGCCCTGGAGTCGATCTTGACTGACCTCCTCGCTGCTCTGGTCTCATTTCAGCTCCAGAGATCCATGGCTTCAAGGCAGCTCCCACCATACGGACACCCTCGCTCACTGTCTTGGGAGGACAGTCAGGAATTTAAAGGTCAGTGATGACACATTGGAGAGAACCATGTGAGATTAACCGCCATTAACAATTCTGCTTGTCCCTGACTACACTACTTGTCTGAACCATGTTGGCTTAGTTCGGAATAGACTGCTTGACTACAAATTTTACGAGATTTGGATATTTACTAACCGACCCAGCTGGTTAATAACTTTGCCATACTGCCTTATTCCAGACTGTTATATCTCCCAATCTGCATCTGACAGGGTTAATCAGTAAAGTGTTAGGAATTCAAAGTGAATTAAAAAATAAGTAGCTGAACTGGTGGCATAGCTGATAGAGAACTTTTCAGAGTCTACTACTTTGGCCTTAAACTAACACTATAGTCGTGCAGACCACTTTGTATAAATAATAAAATAATACTACTAATAACCACCCTGCAATGTAAAGTATCGCAAATGTTTACATTAACGGTTACATTCTCTTCCCGTGGCTGTCTGTAGGAGTATGGCAGCCACTACAGGCACTTTCACGAAACTGATCAAGTAAAACTCAGTCACATGATGCGGCAGCCCCACAGGAAAGCATTGATTTAATGCTTTGATAGACTATAATTCCTATCATGCTTAGTGAGATTTAAACTATACATCTGTTGTAATGGTATGGCGAGGCAACCATGTGCTAAACAAGTTTTGTAGTTTATCATTTGAATCCTTATCCTGCTGGCACCATACTGATTAATGGGCTGTAGTAGTGATGGTGTCTAAACTAGCCTTTCAATGCTAAGCTCTTATAATGAGACATTTATAAATAGCAGACATGGTTGCTGGGCCTGGTGTTTTTAATGGCGAGTTTAACCATGGACTGAATAACTGGAAGGGTGTTAATGATGCGCCCACAGAAACGACGTAGGCTAGAGAACTAAATACAATGGCCCTCTTACTCTATATTACACATGTGAGAAGAGTTATAAAAAGAGAGCTGAGCAAATTCTGCTCCCTCACCCTCTTACCATGTATTTGGGTTAATACAAGTTCAGTGGCAGTGAAGGAGTTAAATACAGAGTGGGAGGCCTGTGTGGCATGCATTGTCACTGGCCTATTGCCAACAGACTGGAATTTATTCACGGAGCACACCAACAAATTGTAGTGACTTAAATTCTGGGCTAAAATATTCAAACTGTGACGATGGTGGAGTTGGAAGAAGTTTGGCATAAAATGTTTCAGCTCACGGTTTAGAGAATAAAGTTCCTCTCCCAGCAGGGGCATAGCTCTCCTCTGTACATACATTGAGCTCTGTCAAATGTTTCTAAACTTTAAATGGTTTTATGTAGTGTAATATATTTAAAATAAATAAATTTAAAAAAAAAAAAAAACATTTCTCTCATTTCCATTAGTCTAAAATGAAGAGAGGAAAAAAAAAAAAAAAAAAAAAGATTCTGCAGACACTGCAGTTGGTGCACAGGTACGTTCATGGAATATGTTAAATCCTGGCAGAGGTTTCATTCATCACAAATGAACTGCTGTATAAGCAGATACGGTCACAGTCAGGATACTAGCTGGCTGACAGCCTCGTGCAGCTCTGTGAAAGGGACAGTGTACAAAATGCACACCGCACTAAGCAGCAGATTAGGCAGATCCAGTGACAGACACGAACAGCAAGTATATGGCATACAAAGAAGCAAAGCTTACAGAGACAGGGGACCTCCTTACACCATAACCTTATAGCTGCAGTTATAATACACTGTGTGCGGGGCGACAGGGGACCTCCTTACACCTTAACCTTCTAGCTGCAGTTATAATACACTGTGTGCAGGGAGACAGGGGACCTCCTTACACCATATAAAAAATAAATAAAAAAACCTTAACATGTATAGCTTGGAGGAATATGATTTCAATACATAAAAGGGAATCAACACAGTAAAGGAGGAGACTATATTTAATAGAAGAAAAACTACCACAACAAGAGGACATAGTCTTAAATTAGAGGGACAAAGGTTTAAAAATAATATCAGGAAGTATTACTTTACTGAGAGGGTAGTGGATGCATGGAATAGCCTTCCAGCTGAAGTGGTAGAGGTTAACACAGTAAAGGAGTTTAAGCATGCGTGGGATAGGCATAAGGCTATCCTAACTATAAGATAAGGCCAGGGACTAATGAAAGTATTTAGAAAATTGGGCAGACTAGATGGGCCGAATGGTTCTTATCTGCCATCACATTCTATAACCTTAGAGCTGCAGTTGTAATACACTGTGTGCGGGGAGTCGAGGACAGTGTTTGGGGTGTACCTTTAAAAAGGAACACCGTGGAATTAGGAATACAAACCTTTATTCCAAACACTATATAGTATTCTGAGCATTTATTTAGATTCAGGCCACCCTGAATCTAAAGAGTAAGAATAAATAAGAAAATAATAGTTTTAATAAATCTTCCTGTCACACAGACTCCTCTTCTCATCCCATCAAATATCCCTGCAATATAAGCATTGCCATATGTCCTGAACAGCAATGATTTACATTCAAGGGTTAAAAAGTTAACGGCCACTGCATCTATATGCTTTTAACGATCCTTTAAGTTCAGTTTGTTACAAATCGTTTAGATCAGTGGTTCCAAACCAAGTCCTCAAGTACCCCCTACCAGTCCAGGGTTTAGGGATTACCCTGTCTAAAATGTTCTGTTCTAAAAAGACAGAAACAGCTGGGTAATCCCTGAATACAGGACTGTTAAGGGGTACTTGAGGACTGGGTTGGGAACCACTGGTTTAGATCAGAAGCGGTTATTGACGTGGAATTGGTCACCTGTTTTCAAGATGGGATCTGTATCATCCCACTAACCCTAAAACCCATCAGTGCACCTCACTGGAATAAAACCAGAATTAAAGACATCCAAACACTGAACTTAGAACCAGATGTTATTTTACCAGACAGCACCAGCTCATACAAGGTCATTTCAGTTTTACAGCTCTATCCCAAGTGATATTTTCCATTGAAAATTCAGTTTATGATCAAAGATCTTCCAAAAGATACCAGGCAATGTTAACTGGCTACTACAGCACAAAAAACAAATACAAGTAGAATTCTAGGTCATACTATTTGAAAAGACAGACTTTTGTAAAAATATACAACAAATAATGATGAATTGATTGCATAGAAGACGGTTGTCATCACAGAACATTCTTCTACGAATGATCCGGTTACAGTTGGGTCAGGAAGTCTCTTCGACCTTCTTGTACACTTGCCTGCAGGTTTGATCTTCACAGGTAAGCTCCTAGTGGAAAGAAAAACCAGAGTTACACCCAGAGCCCTGTCTTGTGATCCAGGTTTTACATTTTATTTCCATGTCAATCCATGTAGCATTATAGGGAATGTACAATTATTTTCTAATCTCTGGCATCTTTTTATAATTGGGATGGCACATAATCCCAACTCACATACAAACTACAAAAAATAAAAAAATAAAAAATATATAGCTCCCATATCTGCAGAGCTTTGAACCTGGTATCGTAGCTCTAAACATGTAACTGAAAAAGATCTACAGGATGAACTTGGTAGGGGCACCGACTGGGCATATAGAAAGCTTTTTGCCAAATCCTAACCCTAAAAGGCCCTCAAATCCGCAACACCACTAAGCCATAAAGGCAGTAGTGGATGCAGGGTATTCAGAATAGAACTGTACTCAGTGGCAGATAACAGACAAGTTCTCCCCTCCTCTGTCCTACAGCACTTGATCTCTCCTATAAAACAATATCCCATTGCTGTATCCTCCCATTTTTAAGATTAGATTGTTAGGGACTAGCACCATCTGAGAGTCAGGAGGCCACATACACATTTTCTGGATGGTCACCAGTGGAAGAGGCGATAGGATCCATTTTTATTTAACCAGTCTGGTCTGCATGCACGAACGGTCTTACCATAGACATAGAAGAAAAAGTGGAGGGCAACTTGGTTGGTTATTCACTAGGTGAGCGGTCAGATATATCATATTTTACCAAGTCCCCAGTGCAATGCACTGGAGCTTAATCTCTAAATACCAATCTAATGGTAAAAAAAATAAAAAAAAAATTAAAAAAACCCTGCATGATTTAGCCTAGAAACCGCCAACTCACCCAGCTTAGATTGTACTGCTGGGTTCAACATTCTATGAGCACTTACTCCCCCTAGTGACACATTTCACCAAGTGCAGAGCCCAGTCATAGGACAAGTCCCACAGCCACTTGTCGTGGCCTCTGTCACCTCAGCATCACTTCTCCCACTGAGCCAGTTACTTTCATGGTGTGTGCGCAATGTGAATATTCAGCATTCATGCACACAGCCCTATTCTTTGCCTTGATCACAGAGAGGAAGACATAGCAATAGTATCTTATTGTATGATCTCTAGGTCATGTCACATGAAGACCTGTTGCCAGCCAGCGGTTACATCAAACACCCTGCTACATTATAACCGGTAGGCAAATTCTGCCATTCCAGACTATAGCTTGCATAACCCTCCGCCAGAGCATCATGGGAGATGTAAGCCATAATATGTGGCATTAAAGGGAGATGCAGTTTGTGCTCTAAAGCAAAATGAATGTTACAATTCATCAATATGCACAGACTCATCAACATTACAAGCTAGCAAGATAAGGATACAAATCCTGATTCATACCAAATGCAGCTCATCACCGTCTAGCCAGTGTACCCATCCCCGGTTCTTTTTTTCACCAGTTTGCACGCAGACAAGCCGTCCATTATCCCAGGATACAAGACTGAGGAAAGATCTAGATATTAGAGACCTCTAACTCCTTAAAAAGACTGATGATGGTTTAAACATTAATTAAGCACTTACATACACTTTAAAGATCCACTAAATATTACCACAAGGTTGTATAGAACTGACAGAGTTAAAGGGACACTGAAGGCACCGGAATGGCTTCATCTTAATGAAGTGGTTCTAGTGTCTGGAGCCTCCTGGGGTTATCCTTGCATTCTGTGCTGCTTGGGCCAATGAGGAAGGATTACCCTGAACAGCCATTGGCGGATGTGATTGTCTGAGAATGTCAGCGGTCCCCTTTTAGCCGATCACAGCACCCATGGTTGGAATCTATCGAAAGAAGCGAGTAATCTCTGCTTCAGGAAGTGTTTACATCAATTCTCTGAAGGGAGAATTCGAAGAGAGTTTTAAATCTGAGGCCAAAATTGCCGAACTGAAAGCACAGCTTACAAAGAATATACAAAAGTACGGCCATTCCGACGGTCAGATTAAAAACCTCCCATACTAATCCAAATATTTGAGGGAGGTTTTCTTCAGGACTTTAAAGGCAACATTTTATCACTTTCCCCTGAGACAATGACCTTTTACTAACTCAGAATGTCACACTGACCTCTAGTTCAATGACATTACAACCACATTCTCTGCCATTATTTGTTCAATTTGAAGAAATTCTCATTTCCGGAAGTGCAGCTCTACTACATATTCCGGCTTTTATTTAGCTTGAGCTATTTTTATTAAGAAAAACAAACAATAACAAAACAAGTTTGCACATGGCCCGAATACTGGATTCTATCTGTGGTTTGAAAAGAGTCTCTTTACTTTTTAAAATGGGTCCAAAGTGTTTTTTGTTTTCTAGTGTAATCCCAGCAACCGTCCACACAGTAATTAGTGACCCAGGACACAGAGACAACGTCTAGTCATTTATTAAGCGAGTGATGATTTTTTATTTATTTTTTTACCATTGGTCCCAGGGGAATGGAGGTTGAACATCTCTGGATTACAGTGGGTGTACATCAACGGGCAACTCCAGAATACATAATGAAATCTACAAACATTGCCCAACCCAAAAACCACAAAGGGCCTTTTGCCATCTGTGCCACACCTTAAGCTTCCGATTATCCATGCCTTTCGTGTCCTCTTCAAATTCTTGCCCAACTGTGAAGCTAATCATGTAATTCCGTAAACTGCTTATTGTTCGGATTGTAAAGACATCACCATTTTGTTCTATCACTTTTTGAGGCTTCAGTAGTTTTGCCATTTTCCGTAGAACAAAATCTATACCTGGGGTAAAAGGAAAAATAGAAGTTACTTGGTCATCCTACAACATCTGAAAGGATAAGTGTTCCATGGAAACGATACCAGAAGGGGAAGGTTTAATTACACTCCTATGGACATAACGACAGAAGCTATTAGCTAGGGAGTCCTTCAATTCTTCAACAGCCATAGTCTCACGCAAGATTCTCCCATAGGAAACGAGCATGACGCCCCTACACCTCTAGAGAAATACAGACACGACAACAGGAACATAATTCAACTGCGTTCTTGTGAAAACGCTGTCATCACTGTATTGCTATAGCGATGTGGAGATAAAAAACCTCACAGCAGTTTTACATTCATACATCCTTGCACCTTAAAAAAGTATTAACGTATATTGTCAAAGACCTTTAAATTTGAAACTTCTGTAAAATTATACATTTTAAACAAGGTTTTTTAAAAAGGAACTAAATTAAGCTGAAATGCATCTGTAAGTTTGGTATACCCTCCACTATATATTACACACACACAAATAGATAAAAGATATATAAACAGGACAAACTCAGACATAATGCCAGGGTTTTTAACTACAATCACCAAGTTTCCTTCCTGGTAAAAAAGTTTTATAAATACAATTTCAATACATAAGGGAAGAGAAACAACAAGACAGGTATTTATAAATGTGTACCAAGTAACAATACAATACATTTAATGGTGGCAAATGGAAACTAAAGGGAATATTAAACTAATGTTGGCAAAAGTTTACAATTCAGCTCTTAAGTCCCATAGGATGGAATATCGGTCTGTGCAGTCACAGTAACATTTGAATTTATTGTAAGAGCCCAAATAGATACATTGTCAAATACACCCAACATTTAAAGGGAAAATTCACCACCTTACTGCCTGGGACAGACCCACTATATATTGGATTTATATTCTGATATACCAGCATTGATACAAAATCATCCTTGCAGCTTTGAAGATGAATTCACTAGGGGATTTAAATAGCAGAAAATGAAAGCAACATGTGTTAATATCAGCTAGCAGCCTCCAAAAACCAGAACGAGTAATTATAGTGACAAAGAACAGTCATCTAAGGCTTCTAAGCAATGCCATGATGCGACGTTTAGTTATGTATATATTTAATGTGGAAATAGAAATGGAAGATTTGGTAGAACACACCAACAAGCAGAGTTGGCCATTCTGTCTAACTGCATTTATTTCTGATACACATAGTTGGATGGCTTACCCAGACTTTGCATGAAGCCCTCAAGATTGTCATTGCTTATCATGTTCCATGTGCCATTGTAATCTGGAGGAGCCATGTGGGGACCAGAGATGGAGGCGTGAGGGTTCTGATTGGAGTTGGCAGCTGATGTTAAATATGAGGAGCAAAGTGTGTTTCCCCAGCCAGTTTTATTTGGACTCTGGAGGAGTGTTTCAGATCCTTGATGGGAGGGAGGACTTCCAAACACAGCTTGCTCAATGTTTTAACCCATTCTTCTAATTTAGAAACAGGTTTTCTGTAAAGCGTGAAAAGGAACTTAAATAAAAATGATACAATGTATCGCAGAAACTGCAAAAGGAATTGCTAAAATAGCTGTGACTATATCCGAGTCGGAGAGTTTATCTTTATCATTGATTTTTTGCCTAATTGAGCAAACTACACAGGGTTATTATTACAGGGTGGCATTTAGGAAGTAACCCTGGGAGACAAACATGCTTATTTACTAAACTGAAAATTATTGGGAATTTCAATGTGAAGGCCAAACTAGTCAAACTGGAGACTAGGATACATTTTCCAATTTGGATTTTTTAGCCTTAATCCTTGAATCCCTGACAATTCTCACTTTACTAAATACGCCAGTGAAGTTAAAGGAACATTTTAGTGTTAGGGATATAAAGATGATATTTTTCTGCCCCTTCGGCTACCACCAGCAATGTAAAGGGCTAAATAACCCTTTATTCACTTACTCTAATCCATTGCTGATGTCGATAGGCACTGGGTCATGCTGCGCATCCTCTGACGTCAGCCGATAGGGGGCCTCACTTTTTTTTGTCAATCTTTCTTTTATTAAGGCATGTGAGTTGGGTTACAGAATAAAAAAAGGGAAATGTATGAGTTGAATACAAGATAGGGATATCACAGCATATAACATTTCCTAGATAATAATGCCTCATTTTTTTGTAAATAGCCAGAATTTAAACACGCTAAACTGTTGCGTTTGGTAGGTAAGACATGAATAGGTGCACAGGATTAAGACATTAGTAGGCATGCTATATAATACCATGGAGGTAGGATGTGTACACAGGGCTAGCTAATACGTAAGACTTTCTGAGCGGACATATCAAACAGTACAGTCGCTATACCACTAGGTGCTGGGCCAGGAGACCTCCTGAGGTGAGTGTTAGTGGTTATACCAAGCTTGGTTAACTCGCTTGAGTTTAGTAAATTATCCTCTGAATAGTAGTGGAAAGACATACATTTGTGTGGAGAAGAATGTCGGGTTAGTATGGTACAGGTGAGTCCACAGTATCTACTAGCTTTGTGTAAACAGGCATAACAGAAAACATAGGCATACTAATCATGCATAAACAATCAGTCTATGGCAATCAAGAGCACTGTATAATTTTATTGTTCGACATCAGCAGGAATCAGGCTAGACTACTCTGACCTAGTAAACAGGTTTGGTGTGGCTTTAGCCTGAGCTGTTTATGTTGGTTTAACTAATTATGTGGCTAGTCATTTATGTGGGTAGAATGCTCTGCTGGACATGTGTAGCTCAGTGTAATGACACGAGCGGTACTCTATAAACTGTGTGAGTTACTGCCAAAGTTGTGAGCATGGTAAGAAGTTTAGCTTTATGATTACACATTGCTTTGCATGTCTGTCTGAAATGAGTGTGCTAAATATAAGTAAAATAAAACAGGCTTTAACGATATATTTAGAGTCAATGATTGCTGAGAGCCAGGGTGATGCATCTCTGTGAGAGAAAGTGGCATGCAGCTACATTGTGTTGTGTCTTCGGCTTGCCTCTCTCACTCCTCTGGCCGGCTTTCCTGTGCTGTCTGTCTGAGTCAAGTATGGAGTCAAGTATACCTGTGCTGACCGTCTGAGTCAAGTATGGAGTCAAGTATACCTGTGCTGACCGTCTGAGTCAAGTATGGAGTCAAGTATATCTGTGCTGACCGTCTGAGTCAAGTATGGAGTCAAGTATACCTGTGCTGACCGTCTGAGTCAAGTATGGAGTCAAGTATACCTGTGCTGACCGTCTGAGTCAAGTATGGAGTCAAGTATACCTGTGCTGACCGTCTGAGTCAAGTATAGAGACAGTTCCCGGGCAGTCCAAGTTAGGCCACTGTGCCAGCTCCAGGCCGTCTCCAGAGCCTCTGTGCGGATCCCACTGCTCCGGTTTCTCATGCCACCGTGAGCACAGTCTCTGTAAAGCGCTTTCACCTCTTGAGCTCGTGATTGCTCCTGCCGAGGATGTGGGTCATGCACCCGGGTTGACCTTCTTTGGGCTCTCTGCCCTGAAAAGCGGTAGCAAGTGTTGGGCGACTCGGGATGTGGCTTTTAGGCTGGCCCTCTTCTCCCCTGCTTTTGTGGTCTGGGGGCTGGTCGAGTGCTCCGAGGCCTACCAGCCTCGTAGTTCAGACGGCCGGGAGGCGAGTTCCGCCGCTCCTCTGTCTTCTTCCACTTCCCCTGAGTCTGTGGCCCTCTGCGCCACAGCTTCTGCCAGAAGTCGCTGAAGAGTGTTCGAAATTTTCCAGCAGGCCGTGTGTCGTCCTAGTCAGCACCACAGTCGCCATCTTGGCTCTGACTATGGGACAGTGCGTTGTATCTGGATCGGGAAGGTTCCCTGGTTCCTCTCGTCGTCTCAAGGCAAAGCCTGTTAGCTTATTAATTGTGCCGGGATATCCTTCACTGGCGGGGGGGGGCGGAAGGAGGAAACAGGGGTCCCAAGCGCTTCATTTTTTTCCTGCAGGACAGCTCACGGGGAGGTCCTCCATCTCTCCCACGCTTGCATCCGCTAGTAGGCCGCAATTCGTTGTCAGTTTTAGAATGCTTCTCCGAGCACGGCAATCCACCCAGTCGATTCTCGGTGTATACAGTGATACTCAGCTGCACCAATTTAGTAATTTTGGCGTGATATGCCAAAAATAAGTTGCTTATTTGCGGGTTCCTGCTCGGAGCTCTCGTGTAGTGCGACCAGTCTGCCCGATGGGGGGCCTAATGCCCAAAAATAAAGCATTGTCTCAACGCTTTTCTGTGGGGGATGCCTTGACCTTGGATGTCTTCATGCAGAGAGATATTTCACAGAGTCAAACTGGAAGTTCGGATGCGCCTTTAGTAACTTTCTGGTAGAGAGCCACGAGAGGCAGTCTAGACACTGCAATGTAAACAGTCTAATTTCTCTTAAACGGCAATGTTTTACATTGCATGACTAGGGGGCACAGGGACACTGGACCCAGACCATTTTTAGTCAGACAAGGTGGTCTGGGTGCCTCTTTAATCTTTTCCCTTTACAGTCCTTTGAATGATCACTGTTACAGGATGTTCCAGGATACAGCAGGAAGTGAAAAAGTAACTGTCAATAGCTTCCCCCAAGGATGCAAAATCCAACATGTTTTCCTGAATATAACTTTTTATCTTGCTGAGGCTGTAAGGCAGTAAATGCTCCTAATATATGTATGATTGGTAAGAGTCTTACAGGGTTATTCACAAAAGTTAAAATTACCAGGAATTCAAATTTAAGGCCAAAATGAAAAAAAGACTGACTTGGAGAGGCCTAAAATTCCAACCTCACTTTGAATTTCTGACAATACACACTTTGGTCCCAATATGAAATCAATTAAGTGATCATGACAGTTCAAATCTTAATTCACTTATTTTAACGGCAGTGCACAAATTCCAAGACCTGCCCGACAGAATGCTAATGTGGCTTGCAAAAAAAGCGATCTGGGAACCTTGGAAGGGAACATATGAGGCCTCTCTGCCTACGGGTGTCTGGGTCATTGAGACTCTCTCCAGGGAATGAGGCACAGACCATGTTTACTGTACTAAATGCAGTCACTGCGTGTCCATGAACTTTAATTCTCCATCCTAATACAGACCCTGATTTGTTTTACAGTGGGAGGAGGAGAGAATTAACCTTCCACACACATTAATGTAGGCACAGCGTCAGGCCACAGACTGCAAAGTGAACTTGGTATTTGTTTGACCTGCTAAATGTTCGGACTGGCAATGAACCCACGGAGTGTGAGGGTGGGAATGGCATCATGTTACAGTGACCCAGTAAGAGGACACATTGCTGAATGGATTGCACCACGTTAGATCATATCACACTCACAGAGAATTTAATATCAGTCGTTAAGGTCAGATGAGAGAAGCCTTGCCAGACATGTTTTATTGTACATACATCACTTTAGCTTGCTGCATAGCGGTGTACGAAAAGGCTCACATTACTTGAAAGCAGCCTCTATTAAGTAGACTCTTTCAAGTAGGAGTTAGAAAACTAGTAGTTACTTGGAGTGGTTTGTATACTGTGGAGAGTGGTTTGTATTTTATTTTTGTTTAATCTTTAACCCCTTAAGGACCGAGGACGGTTCAGGACCGTCATCGGCATTTTTGCGTTGCCGACCGATGACGGTCCTGAACCGTCCTAACGGTCAGAGCTACTTACCTGATCGCCGTCGTTCCCCCGGCGGCGATCAGCGTGGCTCCGGTTGTGGGGAGACTGTCTGCAGCCCAGACAGTCTCCCCACGGCAGATTAGGACCCCTGTGGCCATGTGATCGCACAATAGGTGTCCATAGTGCTGCCTGCAGGGGGACTGTCTGTACTGACAGGCAGTCTCCCTGCTAGTGTAAAATCATTTAAAAAAACAAAGTTAATGTTAATAAAAAATAAATAAATAATTATATATGTGTATATATGATATATAGACATATATTATATCTATATAATATATGTCTATATATCATATATATAATGTCATACTAAGTGTATTTTATATTAATATGTACTTATATTAATATAAAAATACACTTATAATTAAATTACACACGTATATATATAATATATATAATAACTATATATATTGTATATATATATTATTATAAAATATAAATAATAAGTAATTTAAATTAAATAAAAAAAATTTAAAATAATAATAAAAAATTTAAAAAAAATTATATAGCTATATGAAATTTTATTCTAACTGTATTTTAAAATTAATATATATATATTTATATCAAAATACACTTAGAATGAATTTGTATATATATCTATGTATATAAAAATAAATAAAAATAATAAGAAATATACATACGTCCATATACAAAATTACATAAATAATTATATAAATATACACGTAGACTTCAAATATATAAATATGCATATATATTTAAATTCTACGTGCGTATTTATGTAATATTTTTACATAATTCAGTAATTTTATTGATTGCAATTTGAGGGACCTGCCTGCCAACCCAGGCCGAAATTCCAGAGAATTTAATTTGCTAGCACTGTATTTTACCCTGTAACGTTCTACGACACCCTAAAACCTGTACATGGGGGGTACTGTTTTACTCGGGAGACTTCGCTGAACACAAATATTAGTGATTCTAAACAGTAAAACATATCACAGCGATGATATTGTCAGTGAAAGTTACTTTTTTTGCATTTTTCACACACAAACAGCACTTTTACTGATGATATAATTGTTGTGATACGTTTTCCAGTTTTTAAACACTAATATTTGTGTTCAGCGATGTCTCCCGAGTAAAACAGTACCCCCCATGTACAGGTTTTATAGCATTTTTGAAAGTTACAAGGTCAAATATATGGGTCAAATATTTTTACATTGAAAATGGCCAGGTTGGTTACGTTGCCTTTGAGAGCGTATGGTAGCCCAGGAATGAGAATTACCCCCATGATGGCATACCATTTGCAAAAGAAGACAACCCAAGGTATTGCAAATGGGGTATGTCCAGTCTTTTTTAGTAACCACTTAGTCACAAACACTGGCCAAAATTAGCGTTCAATTTAGTTTTTTTACTTTTTTCACACACAAACAAATATGAATGCTTACTTTGGCCAGTGTTTTCGACTAAGTGGCTACTAAAAAAGACTGGACATACCCCATATTGAATACCCTGGGTTGTCTACTTTAAAAAAAATATGTACATGTGGGGTGTTATTCAGAGATTTATGACAGATAATAGTGTTACAATGCCACTATTGATAAATTTTAAAAATGTATGTTTTGAAACCGCAATATCCTACTTGTACCTATAGCCCTATAACATGCAAAAAAAAGCAAAAAAGCACGTAAACACAGGGTATTTTTAAACTCAGGACAAAATTTTGAATCTATTTAGCAGTTTTTTTCATTCGCTTTTGTAGATGAGTAAAAGATTTTTCAAGTAAAAGTCAAAAAACATGTATTTTTTCAATTTTTCATCAGATTTTTGTATTTTTTTTAAATTAAAATACATGAGATTATATAAATAATGGTATGTAAAGAAAGCCCCTTTTGTCCTGAAAAAAACAATATATAATTTGTATGGGAACAGTAAATGAGAAAGCGGAAAATTACAGCCAAACACAAACACCACAAAAGTGTAAAAATATGCCTGGTCGCAAATGTACAACATCGCAAAAACAGTTCAGTCCTTAAGGGGTTAAAATTGGTAAGGTTTAACCCCTTAAGGACGGAGCCAAATGTACACGTTGTGAACAAAACAAAATGTAAACAAAACCTGGCATTTGCGCTACATGTCTGTCCAACCATAATTCACCTCTTTCATAGTAAATGCACCCACCCTTATTATATATCATTTTATTCAGGGGAAACAGGGCTTTCATTTAATATCAACTATTTAGCTATGAAACATAATTTAATATGAAAAAAATGGTAGAAAATAAGAAATTTTGTTATTTTTTTAGTTCTATATGACATTTTAACTGTCAATGTCATAATACTGTTTGCTTTTACTGCAATAATATACACATATTTGTATTCAGCAAAGTCTCACGTGTAAAACAGTACCCCCTATGTACAGGTTTTATGGTGTTTTGGGAAGTTACAGGGTCAAATACAGCACTTTACATTTGAAACTGAAATTCGCCAGATTGGTTCACGTTATTTGGACATATAGTAGCCCAATTAAATTTACACCCATAATGGCATACCATTGCAATAGTAAACAACCCAAGGTATTACAATGGGAGCATGTCCAGTCTTTTAGTAACCATTTGGTCATAAACGCGGCAAAGTTAGCGTTAGTATTTGTTTTGTATTGAAAATGCAAAAGCGTAATTTTGGCCAGTGTTTGCTTCAGCGAAGTAACTACTAAAAGGCTAGACATACCAAGCCCAACACAAATATTCTTTCACATAAAGTAATTTTCATTCTTAAGGAGCTACCATACAAAGGCAGCGTAAGCTTATCGCCTAACTCTTCGAGAAAAAAGAAACACAAACCTTATATTTGTATTTTGTAACTTTTAACTCGCAAAACCAGGAAACATATTTGTGTTTCAAAACAGTAGAAAGTATTGCAGCAATAATATCGTCCGTGTAAGTGCTGTTTGTGCGTGAAAAATGCAAAAAACTTCACTTTTACTGGCGATATCATCGTTGTAATACATTTTACTGTTTTGAAACACTAATATTTGTGTTTAGCGAAATCTCCCGAGTAAAACAGTACCCCCCATTTACAGGTTTTATGGTGTTTTGGAAAGTTATAGGGTTAAATATAGTGCTAGCAAATTAAATTCCCTATACTTTTGGCATGGGTTGTCAGTCAGGTCCCGCTAATTGTAATTAATTAAGATACCTAATTATGTAAAAATATTACATAAATATATGTGTAGAATTAATATATGTATATATATACATATGTGTATATATACGTGTGTGTATATATATATATATATAATTTTGAAAATAT